CGTTACGTTACGTTACATTGTGTTACAGAGGGCTAAAACTGGTAGACGCCAATATTTACATGGTAAGAGATGTAATGGAGATGGACTAAGCCTCACTTTTCATTTCAAAATGACATTTTGGACTGCAAAAAGTTGATTTGCGTTACGTTATGTTACATTGTGTTACAGAGGGCTAAAAACTTGCAGACCGTAATATTTATATGCTATGAGATGTAATGGAGATATTGTGTTTGGCTAAATGGGGTTCACATTTCAATAATGATATTCGGACAACAGCCAGAAAGTTGATCTCCACGTTACTTAATGAAAATATAATGCGATGCAAGTGTGTGCTAATATTTTATTTGTGTTTAGAATGTAAGGGCTATAGGAGATTGTCTAGACTTGCATACATTTTCAAATGCTATTTATGTAGGCAGTAGAAAGACTGTTTTCCCATTACGCTACATTGACTGTGTTACAAGAACTGAAAATAGACAGCCCCCGAGCTATTTCACTATCGACTCATCCGGTCTTATTCTCATCGATTGGTGTTTACATTTGGGTGATGTAGGTCTTAAGAGAGACAGCCTTGAACTCGGGGATAATGAACAAGTCAATTTAATAATAGTATCAAGGCTGTGTTTTTCCATATTGTCGTATATATGTTTACTTTGCTTGGAATTTGTATGTGTGGAACATTGCACACCTAAGGGAGAGAGAATGAACGGCGCGTTTGAGGTATAGCGAGGACTGACCGTGATGTGTATGTTTGTTTTACCACAGTGAATATGAAGCTATATTATGCTATGTCTATCAGTTGTTGAATAAACGCGACGTTACGTTATGTGATACAAGAACTAAACAAGCTTGTGGTAATATTTTATTGTGTTTGGATGTAATGGCTAAACATGGTTTACATTTCATTACTCAGACATCGGACAGAAAGTTGCTCGTTACTCTTAAAATGATATTGGGCAAAGAACGAAGTTACCATATTGGTCGTGTTACCTTACAAGGTTATAAGGGTGAGAGTGATGGGGGCTCGAAAATTGACATTAGTCGTCCATCCTCTGATGCGCTGTCAGTCTAAGTGAAATGGAAAAAGATACGTGAACAGCGGCAGCGAGAGAGAGAGAGAGAGAGAGAGAGAGAGAGAGAGAGAGAGAGAGAGAGAGAGAGAGAAACCACTGACTGCTATGTATATCCCATGCAGTTGTGTTTACAACAAATTATGATTTGTTATAATAATAAGATTGAAGACCAGCTTATGACTGGATATTCTTAAAAAATGCTATTTGAGCAAAGAATGATGATACCATGTTGGTCACGTTGCGATACAAGGTTATACATATGATCAGAAAAAAAATACTAAAGGCTTTGCACAGAACATCTGGTCTGGGAAGGGTGCAGTGATACTTGATGGTAAGGAGAGAGGATGGGGGTGGGAGGGGGTAGGGGTTTGGTGGGGGTGGATGGGAGAGGGTAAGGCCATCCCACTACCTAGTCCATCCATCTCACAACGTCTCAAACCGCCGCGAAGGTTAGACCTTAACGAGATGGCGTGCCGGTTCATTCATTCAGGAGTCTTGAACATTCTGTGACATTGTCTTGCTATGATAACGCCGTTGTGTGATACAAGCTCTGCACAACAGTAATGGCTGTAGGAAGAAGAGATGATGGAGATTGAGTAAACATGCATACATTTCAATGATCACAGTTAACAAGAACAATTTGTAGGTAGAGATCGCGTCTCCGTGACGATGTGAAATGTTTCTCTCTTTTAGTAAATGCGAACCTACTGACTTTGACTGAGTTTACTAAGTGATGTGCCATGTGGTGACACTTCTCAGGTCGATGAGACGGTATGTGATCCTGGTCCGTACCACTCTAGAAGGTAAGGGGAAGAGGTGTGCCCCACTCTAGAAGGTAATGGAGGGGATGGAGAGGGGGCCCCCTGATGGTATGGGAGGGGTGGGGGTGATTGACGATGACAGGTGGGCCCCCTGCTAGCGGGGGTAAGACCCTAGCCCCCTCCTTAACGATTCGCAGAGGAGGTAGAGCCATGCTGGGGTGAACATCTCCAAGTCTTGTCTTAAGACATCGAAAAGCCATTAAGGCAAATGGTCCACATCACTCCTCCTGGACTCTGCTCTCTCATCCTCTCCCACTTACGGCTTCCTGTAGGGGGAGCTAATAGTTTGGCAAAACCGCAAATGATCCCGAGCAGTCTCACGACGAGGGGAAGCTCCCCTCACCCTTCCCTCCCTCCCTCCCTCCCTCCCCCACCCCTCCCCCCACCCCAAACAACATAACGGACTATGTTGGGTCCCCTCTCACTCAACCTCTATTTACATTACTTACCTACTATCATCAAAACTATTATCTTCACACAGGATTAAGTCTACGCCAAACACACATACATATTCATTTACTCTTTCCTCTTATTCCACTCCTATCCTTGTATTTCTTACTCTACCACATACTCTCCTACATCCAAACATCATCTCCTCCACTCTTTCCTGACCACATACCCTAACACCCAACGCTCACACACCTCCGACACGCGCCAAACTTCCGGGAAAATTCCCCCCCAAACCCTTTGCGACTACGACGACGCGCACCACCTGGCACCCAACAACATGACCTCCCCTCTTTCCTGACCACATACCCTAACACCGGACGCTCACACGCGTCCGACACGCGCCAAACTTCCGGGAAAATTCCCCCCAAAACCCTGTGCGACTAGACACCTGCGCACCACCTGCCCACCTGGCACTCATGAGTGCCACCTGGGCAGGTGACGTGCGCGGTTCTAGTCGCACTTTACACTACTATCTTCTACTGCCTTCTTTTTTTGAGCCAGGGACACTAATAAAAGAAGAAAATTTATTTACTGTAAGTAAACTAAAACTTAATTTAATGTAATTACAGTTTAGTTTCTTGCATAATACATTTATTTATTTATTTATTTATATACAGAAGGTACATTGGGATTGAGGATACATAGCATAGTAATTACAATCTTGTAAAGCCACTAGTACGCGCAGCGTTTCGGCCAGGTCCTTAATCAAAGAAAATTTTAAGTAGGTATTTACCTGCAAAATTTATAAAAAATGATAACAGTTACAAAGCAAGAAAAAAAATAAAAGATGAGAGAAAATTGTAGGTATATTAAAGCACATAGGTAGCTCAGATTGATTGCAATGACAGCTTGAATGGTAGTTTAACAAAAATTAGTGGGCACATTACAGCATATGGCTAGCACATAAAAGAAGACAGCAATGAACACAATGATAAAGTTGTTTGGGTTAAGTACATAAAGATTGGGAGATTGGGTAATTGGGTACATTCCATACATAGTTTATTTTGCAGTATCAACCTGATAAAAACCTACAGATTATGATACTGCGCCTATTTTACAAATAGTAGTGATGATATTTGTCTTTAAAAATAAGCAAAGCTTATCCATTATGCATGCTAAATGTTACTTGTCTTGATAATGCCAAATTGTAACCCCTGATAAAATAAGATGTATTTACATACCATTTTTGCTATGATGAGGCAGTAAATTGTGCCATGGCAGGATACCTTCTATTGCATTCTTTTCACTGAGAGTTTCAGAGTTTTCACTATTGTAGGTTTTTATGAAGCCTTGAAGCTTTTTCCTGTCACACTCATTTTTCTGCTGGAGTGAACAGCGCATTTTACTGGATGCTGCAAATAAAGTTTTTTTGGCTGAAAGTTATAAAGTTGTTACAAAATTTTCCTTATCCGTTACCTACATAGAAATTATGGACAAGAGCTAAACAGAAAATGCTTCAGAGTTAACAAAGACAAATAGTAGGCCTACGTACATGAGTGGCAATCAGATTTTTGCGATGCCTGATAGAGTCTGCAACTGCCTCGATAGAATATTTGATGTTCTTCGAGGTTGTTCCAGTGTTTAACTCTAACTCCTTACAAATCATTTGTAGGTCAGATCGTCATTCTTGAATCAATGACTTTTGAACATCAAGTTTGTCGATCTCATTTGAAACTGTTATTTCCGTCTCTCTGGCCTATTTGAAAATATAATAAATTTAATGAACAAATCACATTAACCGTGATGAGTGGTTCGAACCTATGGGCTTGGCATTCCCAGATGCTTGCTGTAGTTGAATGCGCCACAACATGGTCAAAAGAATTGCAACCTAGGCTACTACTGCACCCACAATTCATTTTTTTCTTTATTATGCAGCCCCTTACCCATTCCATGGGCGGTTCTGCATGCAGTTCCCCATGCACTTGGTCTATGACCTCCAGTAGTTCTACCTCTGATGGCCCTTTCAATACACATTGAATTCATATTATTGTGATATAACAATACACGGAGAAAGACATTGAAATGGGGGCATGAAAGGCAGAACTACTGAATGACAGAGACCGAGTTCATGGGGAATTGTGTGAAACCTGTTTGGCTTCAGTGGATGCCTTGGGATCCTTGTGGGTGCAGTAGTACTCCAAGTTGCAATTCATTTGACCATGTCGTAGCGTAGTGGACTAGAGCATGCATCTGAGAACACTCAGTGCATGGGGTTCGAACCCTCATCACAGTTCCTGTGATATATCACGATACTGTGATTTTTTTTGTGTACACTTTTGATATTACTTTGAATCATACATTTAGGTTAATAAAATTAAATGCTATATACTTTACACAAATTAACCTTATTGTTATATTGCAAAAGTTCAAGCAGTTAATTCAAGGAAATGGTAGCTAATTTATAATGGAAAATATATGTAGTACATGATCTGAACCCATAACTAACCTATAAATGCATTATAATACCTTTCACATATAAATACATTGATGGATAGAAAATGACAATGTCCAATCAAACAGCATTGCTCTGCTTTCTCCTTAATTAATCTCTGCATTTGTTCTTCTTTTTTGATTATTGATTATTTAGAATGATTAGTATAATATGTTAAACAAAATTTTATAAGCATTAAGCACAAGTTCTGTACATAATATTTATGATGTGTGTCCATTAAATAAACCCTCATATAAATACCAACAAATGATGTTGGGACATAACCAACATCAAATGATTCCAAAGTTTCTTCACCAACTGCCAAATAACTTTGAGTAAGTTCTGCCACTAGTAGAACAGTCCTCATTGTGAATGTGTGGTGGTGAAAGTATAGCAGGCAGAATGTCTGGGTGCCACATTGGAAGATTTAAGCATGGGTACATAATTGCAAATTGTATATCAACATATTTTCAGACAAATCTCTAGATATTACTATAACTAACCTTATGCTACCAAGTTGTTCAGTGTTATAGTAATTTAATCTCCATAATTGTCTAGCATACACTTAAAAATGGGCCAAAAAAGGACTTTCTGGTACTGGCGCTCAAGAGGTTCTCTAGTCATCACTGCTATTCTCCGGTGAAATTCTGAAGAGAAAATTATAGTGTTAGAAGAAAAAGTGCAAGAAGAAAACCAGAAAATTATGCTTATGCAAAATTATGCTACAATGTACCTATTAATAATCTTCAAATTTGGCTACAAATTACCTACTTATAATTATGTGTTAAATTATGGACTTTCCCCATAATGATATGCATGTTAGTGGCATTACCTATACTGCCTACCTGGAGCCCCCTAGAGAGATAGTGACACAAGTTAAGGTAATCCCTTTAGTAAGGTGCTGGGTCAACATAAATAAGCTATAACTAATAAGGACACAAATCAATAGGTTCATTTAACAGTGGTATTAACACCTATATATATTTAGCTAGGAATAAGTTTTTACAAGTGTAACAAAGTGAAAGGAATGTATGAAAATTTTGAAGATATATATAAAAGGATCATTGACATGAACCAGTCTTCCTATATAAAGTATAAAAATAGTAAACATAATACCATTATTATTGTCTATAGTTATTTTTGGAACATCTGGTATGTACACCATACTGTCAAAAATCCGATGATCTATCTGAAAAATTGATTGGTAGTGTAAATATTTGAATTCATTGCATAGCCTCATATACTAACAAAAATAAAACAAATTGTACAGAAAAGCTAACACAACATTATAACACCTTCCTGTGTATTCTATGGTACAAAAGAAAACATACCTTATACTGACAGAAGAACTATGCATACTGCTGAAACTACTTTCCACAAAATATCTGAACCAAGGGATAATCCCCCAAGATTTTAAATATGAACATTTCACCCTATCAGTATTAAAAAAATCAGAAAGAGTTCAGCACAAAACTAATGTCCGATCAGCTTGCAAGCTGATGGTGAAAATCCTAAAGGAGGGAATCATTTACCATCTATCAGTGAACAATGTTATTCAGTCAACACACCAAGGTCTTCTTAAAAACAGATGTTACCTGAGTTTATAGTTAGATAAATATACACACATACCAAAAGAATAGGGGGGTGGTAGGAGAAGAAAATATCAAAGTGTTCAGTGAGGATCCACAAGGTCTTCTCTGAGTATTGTATATTTTCTTCTCCACGGCTATGGGTCCCTACACTTGCACGGGAGGTGGGTACCCATTCTGAATGCTAACTTATACACCTCCTCACTTCTTGGATATGGTACCATGGTACTCAGAGAAAGGGTTTCCGGTGGATGTAGTATAAATGGATTTTGCTAAAGACTTTAATAAGGTACCACATGAAAGACTAACAAGGAAATTACAGGTTCATGGAATACATTGTAGAATGGACAAAACAATACTTAAAACAAAGAGAGCAAAGGGTCATACTAAATGGGAATGAATCTGATGAAATGTGGTAAGTGGAGTACCTCAGGGGTCCATTTTGGGGTCTAAAATATTTGTCATATAATGAACATCTATGACATAGAATATAATATAATCAACCATATCTTCATATTTGCAAATGGCTGGCGTATCACGAGCACTTTGTCCCTGGGTTCCTGTAGGCGGTAGTGGACCCCTTACTGACCCTGTGGGCGGTAGTGGACCCCCTACTGACCCTGTGGGCGGTAGTGGACCCCTACCAACCCTGTGGGCGGTAGTGGACCCCCTACCGACCCTGTGGGCGGTAGTGGACCCCCTACTGACCCTCTGGGCGGTAGTGGACCCCCTACCGACCATGTGGGTGGCAGTGAACCCCCTACCGACCCTGTGGGCGGCAGTGGACCCCTTACCGACCCTGTGGGCGGCAGTGGACCCCCTACCGACCCTGTGGGTGGTAGTGGACCCCCTACTGACCCTGTGGGCGGAAGTGGACCCCTTACTGACCCTGTGGGCGGCAGTGGACCCCCTACCGACCCTGTGGGCAGCAGTGAACCCCCTACTGACCCTGTGGGCGGAAGTGGACCCCTTACTGACCCTGTGGGCGGTAGTGGACCCCCTACCGACCATGTGGGTGGCAGTGGACCCCCTACCGACCCTGTGGGCGGCAGTGGACCCCTTACCGACCCTGTGGGCGGCAGTGGACCCCCTACCGACCCTGTGGGCGGTAGTGGACCCCCTACTGACCCTGTGGGCAGAAGTGGACCCCTTACTGACCCTGTGGGCGGCAGTGGACCCCCTACCGACCCTGTGGGCGGCAGTAAACCCCCTACTGACCCTGTGGGCGGAAGTAGACCCCTTACTGACCCTGTGAGCGGTAGTGGACCCCCTACCGACCCTGTGGGCGGAAGTGGACCCCTTACTGACCCTGTGGGCGGTAGTGGACCCCCTACCGACCATGTGGGTGGCAGTGGACCCCCTACCGGCCATGTGGGCGGTAGTGGACTCCTTACCGACCCTGTGGGCGGTAGTGGATCCCTTACCGACCCTGTGGGCGGCAGTGGACCTCCTACCTTCCGTGTGGGCGGTAGTGGACCCCCTACTGACCCTGTGGGCGGCAGTGGATCCCCTACCGACCGTGTGGGCGGTAGTGGGCCCCCTACCGACCCTGTGGGCGGCAGTGGACCCCTTACCGACCCTGTGGGCGGCAGTGGACTCTATATACTAATCCTGTGGGTGATACAGGACCAAATACTCATCTTATGGGCGACAATGGAAGCCATACACATCCAGTGGGCCTTATTGGACCCCATACTCATCCTATCGGTAATATTGGACCCCATACCTATCCTGTGGGGTGGTATCCCAGCAAACAATTTTAGGTTGCCACAACATATCTGGAAAGTATTTGAAAGGATTGGAAACGTTTGTTTTATCGTATCAGATACGATATTGTGTGTGGACTTAAATAGGTTTCCAAAACTTATAACCAAGACATATGTATCTAACACTAATTTGAGATGTTGTGGCAACTTTACACTCCTAACATGAGTCATTCATAATCCATTCATACACCAATATGAATCTCTTGTGAAAGGTTTGAGCCTAATCTGAACCCTTTTCACATCTTTGTGTTTAAAGTTAAATTTCTTGAAATTAAATTATATTATTTTATATTATATTATTTTTATTATATTTTATTTTATGTATTATTATTTTTCTTATATTTTTTTATATTATATTATTGTTTATAATTTAAATATTAAAACTAATTTAAGGTATCAGTAATACTTAAGTAATAAACAAGATGAAAGACTGATAATTAGAGTGAGAACAACTAAATGAGCACATGAAGGTACTCACCTATTTGTGCTTGCGGTAGTGTACAGGTGCCTGAGCCTATTGGGCTCTATCATATCTACACTTGACACTGTGTATGGAGTTTGCCTCCACCAAATTACTTCCTAATGTATTCCATTTGTCAACCACTCTGACACTAAATAATCACTACACACGACCGTAGTATGATATGTGATCACGTCTAGGTGAGCACATCTAGGTGATCACGTCTAGGTGAGCACATCTAGGTGATCATCTATGCCTATAAACAGTAAGATTATAGGCACAGTTGATGTGCTCACCTGTATGTGCTTACCTAGATGTGCTCACCTAGATGTGCTCACCTAGAGGTGCTCACCTAGATGTGCTCACCTAGATGTGCTCACCTAGAGGTGCTCACCTAGATGTGCTCACCTAGAGATGCTCACCTAGATGTGCTCCCCCTAGATGTGCTCACCTAGATGTGCTCACCTGGATGTGCTCACCTAGATGTGCTCACCTAGATGTGCTCACCTAGATGTGCTCACCTAGATGTGCTCACCTAGATGTTCCTACCTGTAAGTGCTAACCTAGATGTGCTTACCTAGATGTTCCTACCTGTATGTGCTCACCTAGATGTTCCTACCTGTATGTGCTCACCTAGATGTTCCTACCTGTATGTGCTCACCTAGATGTTCCTACCTGTATGTGCTCACCTAGATGTTCCTACCTGTATGTGCTCACCTAGATATGCTCACCTAGATGTACTCACTTAGATGTGCTCACCTAGATGTGCTCACCTAGATGTGCTCACCTAGATGTGCTCACCTAGATGTGCTCACCAGTAAGACACATGGTGGTGATGTACCATGGGAGAGTGTGCCTGTAAGACACATGGTGGTGATGTACCATGGGAGAGTGTGCCTGTAAGACACATGGTGGTACTCATCTATTTGTGCTTGCGGGGGTTGAGCTTTGGCTCTTTGGTCCCCTCCTCTCAACTGTCAATCAACTGGTGAATAGATTCCTGAGCCTACTGGGCTCTATCATATCTACATTTAAAACTGTGTATGGTGTCAGCCTCCACCACATCTCTGCCTAATGCATTCCACCTGTTAACTACTCTGACACTGAAAATGTTCTTTCTAATGTCCCTGTGGCTCATTTGGGTTCTCAGTTTCCACCTGTGTCCCCTAGTTCGCGTACCACCAGTGTTGAATAGTTTATCCTTGTCTACCCTGTCAATTCCTCTGAGGATTTTTTAGGTAGTGAGCATGTCTCCCCCTCACTCTTCTGTCTTCCAGTGTTGTAAGGTGCATTTCCCGCAGCCTTTCCTCGTAACTCATGCCTCTTAGTTCTGCAACTAGTCTAGTGGCATACCTCTGAACTTTTTCCAGCTTCGTCTTGTGCTTGACAAGGAACGGGCTCCATGCTGGGGCCGCATACTCCAGGATTGGTCTTACGTATGTGGTATACAAGATTCTGAACGATTCCTTACACAGGTTCCTGAAAGCTGTTCTGATGTTAGCTAGCCTCGCATATGCCGCAGACTTTATTCTCTTTATGTGGGCTTCAGGAGACAGGTTTGGTGTAATATCAGTTCCTACATCTTTCTCTCTTTCCGTTTCATTAAGTACTTCATCTCCTATTCTGTATCCTGTGTCTGGCCTCCTGTTTCCATCGCCTAGTTTCATTACTTTGCATTTACTCGGGTTAAACTTTAGCAGCCATTTGTTGGACCATTTATTCAGTCTGTCTACGTCGTCCTGTAGCCTCCTACTATCATCCTCTGTTTCAATCCTCCTCATAATTTTTACATCATCAGCAAACATTGAGAGAAACGATTAAATACCCTCTGG